CACACACACACACACACACACTACAGTATCCAGGAAACTCCTCATTCTTTTACTTTACTGAGAATCATGGAATCATAGAGTTGGAAGAGACCACAAGGGTCATCCAGTCCAACTGTGTTCTGCCATGCAGGAACACAGAATCAAAGCACTCCAGACAGATGGCCATCCAGTCTTTGCATAAAAATTTCTAAAGAAGGAGACTCCCCACACATGCCAAGGAAGTGCATTCCACTGTTTAATAGCTCTTACTATCAGGAAGTTCCTTCTTATGGTTAGGTGGAATCTCTTTTCCTGTAGTTTGAACCCATTGCACTTGCTATTCCGATCAACCAACAGACCATTATGTCTTACTGTCACTGAAGTATAGAAAGTGAACTCAATGAGTTGCTCATTCTTATCAAGTTACCATTGCTGTTGCTACTGGAAAAAATTAGGAAAATGTTCTTTGGGGCCCCCAAGTGGCGTATTCAGATCTTGCACCATAAACATTCTGAGAAAAATACAAAAGACCTTCCAAATTAACCTTTTCTGGCTGCAGCTCAAGGCAGCTGTTTAAACCTTTGTTCCAACTCTTGACGGCAAATGATAATTAGCTACCAAAGCAAGTTGTTAGGAAAAGTAGGTACTTCCTAGATATGACATGGAAAATGGTTGCTTAGGCATGCATGTGAGAACAAAACAAACAGATTTCCAGTGCAAGTTGCACACATGTGTGTTTGCCTCTTTCTCTTCTTCAGTTATATCTTGGACGTTACCACCCATGTAGTGAGTTTAGTCTCTACCATGAGGCAGATGGATTTTAGAGTCTTTGCTAGCATTATAGCCAAATGTTAACAGTGGTTGAATAGTATAAAAAGGGTCAATTTATGTTAGTGGCTTTGTTTGATACTTTTAAAAAAACCTATTTATTTATTTATTTATTTTGCATTAGCTTGGCAGTTTGAGCTTGGGACAAGTTGTGAAGGCTAAGAACAGACTGGTGGAATGAATTTCCTCCTGTTATTAACCTCCTTGCATAGTTCTTATACCTGGAAGTGAGGCAGAAGATGGATCATGCTTGTGCACTTTGATTTTCTTCATTTGCTTCTGCACTATGTAACCCTTGGGGCCACTATGTAACCCTTTGGTGCCCCCAAGTGGTATATTCAGATATTGCACTTAAAACATTCTGAGAAAAATGCAAAAGGCATTCAAAACCAACCTCTTCTGGCCACAGCACAAGGCAGCCACCCACATCTCTGTCCCATCTCATTATTGCAAATGGTAACTAGCTAACAAAAAACTTACATAGGCTTTACCAAAGGGAAGTTCACCCCAGCCTAGGGGCTCCTAGTTAGTCAGACAAAAGGAATTAGATTTAGCAATCTAGAATTAGCAATCCAGGTAGAATTGACTGTTTAGGGGCCCAGTTTTACAGTTGATTTTGAAGGGATGTTGAACCCCATCAGTGAAAGGGGTGGAATGTTTCTCTTTAGAATATCTGCTAGATCACTGGCATCAATAAAACTTATCATAGAACAATGTATGTCTGTGTTCACCATCAAAGTCTTGGGAGGCCTGTAACTACACTCAGTTCTAAAATAGAACACCCCAGCAACTTAAGATGTGCCATCCCATACTGGATCACCACCTGTCTTTGCAAGAGAGTCCCTGTCTCCTGGATCCCTCCACTTCTTTAGGGAATACATGATTCAAACCGATCTGTGTCCTCGTGTCATCATTCTGTGCTTCTCTGCTCTGCATCATTGCATGTTTGACAATGGAACACATTCCCTTGGAGAGTGGTGGAGTCTCCTTCTTTGGAGGTCTTTAAACAGAGGCTGGATGGCCATCTGTCGGGGATGCTTTGATTGAGAGTTCCTGCATGGCAGGGGGTTGGACTGGATGGCCCTTGGGGTCTCTTCCAACTCTATGAGTCTATGATTCTATGATCTGCACTGTGGAGTTAATGCAATCTGGCTCTGCTTTAACTGCCATGTATCCATACAATCGAATTCTGGGATTTGTTGTTTCATGAGATGTTTAGCCTTCTCTGAGAGAGAGAGAGCTCCAGCCAAGTACAAATCCCAGGATTCTATAGCACTGAGCCATGGCAGTTAAAGCAGCATCAAACTGCATTGTTTCTGCAGTGCAGATGCACCCCCAGACTAAAAGGATGCACTTGGCTTAATAGTATGAGTGGGTTATGTTGTGTAACATGTTATGGGGATGGAGTGTGGGTGGAATCCATGATGGGGCTACTGTTTTTATATTCAGACATGTATTTGTTTTTAAACACTCCATGTATGGAAACAGGTTCTGATTTATTTGGTTTGCAACCAGTCTGAGCACAGCTACAGTGTTCAAAAACATGTTAAGGATAAAAGTACTACATGATCTGGAAACTCAAGTCCAAAACACGAGGTCTGTGGTCCATTCACACCTCTGTTTCCTCATCTCGCTCTTGTGTTTTGATTCCAGTTGTAGAATTCTGGCTAGGAGAGGGTGAGATCTCCAACCTGGCATTTGCTTTTCCCCTGCTGGATTTGATGATGCCGCTGATCTGCCGTGAATCACACTTCCTCATTGACAGATTGGGTTGAGAACTGGGCACACCAAAATATTTTTAAATATATATTGAGAGAGCACTCTTCTGTTATGTGTGATTCTCAGTGATGCACTAGCTTCCACTTACCCTTGTGGCTTTGGAAACATAGAAGGCATTTTTTCCCTTTGAAAGAACTGAATGTCTGAGACCATTGCCAAATAAGCTCAGGGGGTGGTGCAAACAGGAATACACCCATTTTAGAGAGGGCTACTTAGGACTGACTGGGGCACTCTATGCTGAAAGCCACGGGAAACCTAGTCTCCCTTGCTCATAATGACCTTGCAGATTGCAAGGGACGTAAGTTACCTTAGGTCCTACTCCCTCCTACAACATCTGCTAGAACAGCTGGCCATTAAGCTCCTGACTCCAACAAGTTGCAAAAAAGAAGAAGAAGAAACAAGGAGATACTCCATCGCAGAGACTGAGAGTTCATCAACACCGTAGAAATAATGCAGTTTGACACCTCTTTAACTGGCTCTATCCTACCGAATCCTGAGATTTGTAGTTTTGTGAGGCACCAGCAGACTTTGGCAGAGAAGGTTAAAGACTTTGCAAAACTACCAATCCCAGGATTCTATAGGATGGAGCCATGGCACTTAATGTGGTGTCAAACTGTATTATTTCTTCAGTGTAGAAATAACCCTAATCCTGAGGCTCAGAGCACAAATACGTATGCCGAAATCCTGTGGATGTCATATACCTGTGTGCATCCTCTTAAACATGTGGTTCTGCTTTTTAGGAAGTGGGGAGTATGTGCAATGGATGCATTCAGTCCATGGTTCCATAACCATTTTTTTGTTGTTGTTTTTATTGTGTGCCTTTAAGTTGTTACTGACTTACGGTGACCCTAAGGGTCCATCCTACAGAATCCTGAGATTTGTGGTATTATGGGTTTTTCTTGCCAAGATTTGTTCAGAGGTTTGCCATTGTTTCCTCTCAGACTGAGAGCATGCCACTTGACCAAGGCCACCCAATGGGTTTTCATGGCAGAGAAGGGATTCAAACCCTGGTCTCCAGAGTTGTAGTCCAACACTCAAACCGCTGCACCACACTAACCATTTTACATGGGTCTAAATGTTATGGTTAGCCCCAACTATAGGAAATCTATTGAATCAATGGGATTTTTCTATATGCTGATTTCTTATTCTGTAATTGATTGAATGGGCCTACACTACCTGGGACTAGACAATAGGATTCCAATCATGCGGTTGCATACCCTTGGATGGTGCAAACCCATTTATCAGTGCCTTTAATATATCACTGGATTCACTGGGATTGCAGAAATGGCCACTCTGCCTTCTGCACTGAACAATGGGATCATAGGCACACCAGCAGATATACCATCGGTTCAATGTACACAGACTATGGGGCTTTGCAGACGGCGCAAAGCGCCATCTTGGAACCAGGGGAGGGGAGGGGCAGCCGGACGTCGGACGCCAGACACCCCGACCCCTTCCCGAGGACGTCATTGGCATGCCCACCGTTACACACAGTGAGCGCTCCGATAATGTCCTCCTGGCCCAGCCTCTGCACGGGCTGAGCCAGAAGAGAGGTGGAAGAGCCGCATGATGGCTCTTCCAGACCCTTTCTGGGGCTTGAGGAAGGAACACTATTTTAGTGCTCCTTTCCCAGGTTCCAAAAAGGTGGATTGGGGCCGAGGTGTGGGGCAGCCTCGGCCCCAATCTTTTGCTTCCCAGGGCGGCCCATGGCCGCCCATCTGCAAAGCCCCTTTGTTTCATGCACAAAATTATTAAAAATATTGTGTGTAAAATTAGGTAAAGGTAAAGGTATTCCCCGTTGACAAGGTTGTCAAGTCATGTCCGGCCATAGGGGATGGGGCTCATCTCCATTACTAAGCCGAAGAGCCAGCGTTGTCAGAGAGTACTCTGTGACCATGGGGCCAGCATGATTGCACACAACGCTTTTTACCTTCCCACCAAAGTGGTACCTATATATCTCCTTGCATTTGCATGCTTTCGAACTAAGAGGTTGGCAGAAGCTGGGACTAGTGATGGGAACTCATGCGGCACCTGGGCTTCGAACTGCCATCCTGCCGATCTTGCAAGCAACAGAGTCAGTGTCTTGACCACTTGAGCCATTGCCTCCACAGTAAAATGTAATGTAAATGTAAAATTACCTTCAAGCTATGTATATAAGGTTTATATGAAACATAAATGAATTTTGTATTTAGACTTAGGACCCATCTCCAATATATCTCATTATGTATATGCAGATATTCCACGTTTCAAAAAACTCTGCAATCCAAAACACTTCTAGTCTCAAGTATGTTGGTTAAGGGAAACTCAGCCTGTATATGCCTACAGGGAGCAACATTGAGGCATGTAATTAGGCTACTGTTCTCAACTCTCTCTCTGTGTGCCTTCAAGTCTCCTGTCAACTTATGCAGGCCCCATGAATTTCATAGGGTTTTCTTAGGCAAGAAATACTCTGCAGTAGTTTGCCAATTCCTTCCTCTGATATATAGCTTTCAGCACCTGATATTTGTTGATGGTCTCCCAACCAAGTACTAAACAGGGCTGACCCTGCTTGGCATCCAAGATCAGACTTACCATCTGTTCTGCACTATGTTCAATGTGTAATTTAAATAAAATTTGGGATGTTGAATTAATATCCAAGAGAACCATTTCTATGCTGCATTCATTATTCATAAAAACAGCTTTAGAAGACTCCTCTGATGTTGGAAAGGCTGCTGAGCAGACTTCAAACCCTGCCTCAAACCCATTGCCTAATATGTTTGCTGTTCCCCTCCAAGAAATGTGTGTTATGTGCTGGGCTTGAGACAGGAGTTTAGGTCTACTTGTCAGCCTGTCTCCGTTGCACTTCGGAGGATCTTTCTAAAGCTTTTCAAAAGCTTTAGAAGGATCTTTCTACCTCAAGCCCATTGCCTAACGCATTTGTTGTTCCCCTCCAAGAACCAAGGGTTATGTTACTAAGACCAGCAAGTTGGTCACTACAAATATACAAGTCGCAAGTTGGGTCAGTGATTGTCATTTATTGTGGAGCCAAGATGGCGTCATTGAAGTGATTTGAGTCCATCTTGGTTCAATCTACATCACTGCTTATATGCCCTGAATTTCACCACCCAGGTGACTCCCTTGCCAGAGATGCCCATGCCAAGATGGTGTTCCTCTGACTACAGCACTCTGGTCTTCCTTCCTTCCTTCCTTCCTTCCTTCCTTCCTTCCTTTCTTCCTTCCTTCCTTCTGCCCCTCCTTGATGCAAAGCTTTCCTCCATGCTCAGCGACACCTGTTCTTGCAATAATGTAAGAACCCACATCCTTCTCCCAGGCTCCATTATGCCACTCATCCTCCCCTCCAGCTCTGAGTCAGCTTGTGAACACCTGAATTAGTTAAATATTGCGGTTGGTATTGGCCATGCTTGTTTCCTCTCTGAGGATATGGAGCAATTGATTACCTCATTACAGAGCCGAAACATCCTCTTTCGCTGGACATAGACAAGAAAGCCCTTCATGGCTTGCCTGGAGGTATAAAATGTTTCATGGGGCAAGGCCAACGCTTGCTTACATTTCCCCTCTTGCTCTGACATTTCTTTTGATGCTCTGATAAGGCAGCAAGGAAGGAGCTGCTGGAACGAATGATGTTGTCTTCTTTTCCACAGCTCCATGGCAAAGTCCAGCTTCCATGAACCGCTCCCAGTCCCTGCCACCGGAATCCCGGGTGGAACAAACATTGGATTTACAAGGTGTGGGTCAAGATTATAGCCTAATATAAGAAGATGAACATATATGCCAAGCAAAGACAGTACAAATCAAGCCCTCAATACATCTCTGGAAAGAGAGATTTTAATTGGCATCCCACGGCTATAATTTAAGTGCTACATTTATTATGTCTTTTTGGCATCCGTGCTTCACGATAATTTGCCACTCTGTTTTTAAAACACTTTTCCAAATACAGGTTGAGTTGCCCTTATCCAGAATTCCAAAGTCCAAAATATTCAAAAACCAAAACTTTTTTCGTATGGGTGGCTGAGATCGTAACACCTTTGCTTTCTGGTGGTTCAGTGTACACAAACTTCGTTTCGTGTACAAAAGGAGAAATAAATCAGTTTGACACCACTTTAACTGTCATGGCTCAGTGCTATAGAATTATGGGATTTGTAGCTTCTCTAACTGAGAATGGTAAGTATCTTACAAAACTACAGATCCCAGAATCCCATAGAATTGAGCAATGACAGTTAAAGTGGTGTCAAACTGATTTATTTCTGCTGTGCCAACCACAGGTGGAAATGGGACAGAACACTGAACAAGACTGAACTAACTGATACAAGACTCAGGGTAGAAAATCTGGTCTGACAGTGGATAATAGGATACCTATATATTTTCATACTGCATTATTTTTGCAGTGCAGATGCAGCCTGATTTTGCCCTTGACCTTTTTTCTGCCCTCGACTTGACCTTTCTTCTCTTTATGTCCAGGTCCTGGTTTGGCAAGTGTTCTTTATACAGTCGCCCCTCCATTTTCATAGACTTCAAGCCCACATCCTTCACCCATTCATGGGCAGCAAACGGAGGGAGACAAAATGGGGTGCGTGCCTCCATTCAAACCAATTGCAAGTTAGGAGTTTATCACATTCCCTTTTGGGCCCGATCTGGGCACAGGCTGGGGATGCATGTGAAGGAGGGGCAATGAATTTTATTGCACTCAAAACAGTTGGCAAGCCATCACCATGCTGTTGCCTGACCACCACCCATCTCCAAGCTGCATTGAACCGGCCAATTTTGTTCAGCCAGAAAGCTTCCATCCTTGAAAAATTGGCCAACTCAGTGCAGCTTGGGGACAGGTGGTGGTCAGGCAACGGCATGGCGATGGCTTGCCGACTGTTTCGAGTGCAATAAAATCTGTTTCCCCTCATTTACGTGCGTCCCCAGCCCATGCCCAGATTGGACAAAAAGGGGAATGTGATAAACCCCTTAGAGAAGGGATAATAGGATGGTTAGAATCAGTTAGTGGCAGTTGAAGTTGAGGGTGAAGTTGAAGTTCGAGTTGGGGTCTGACAGTGATGGACTCAGGGAATAACAGAACTCTGAAAGCAGGTTACTGTTAAAAAGTATCCAGAGAGATATAAATAGCCTTGGTGGCTGGTGTAGAAATAGAGAGTAAAGAGTACCCAGAGAAAGACAGAGAAGGTCCTGGGGTAGTGAAGGGGTCTATTGATTCTAAAGAGTGAAACTGGATGTAGAGTTAATGCGACTGTAACCAAGTGTAACAAGTAAAGCAAAACTAAGACATAGGGCCAGTGCAGATGGCTTGTAAGGGGTGGCTCTGTGCTGTCCCTGGGAGCAGCGGATCGGGGCCGCAGCAACCGCACACTGTGGCCCCAATCCTCCATATATATATATATATATATATATATATATATATATATATTAAAAGATACTTTTCTTTCACACATATCACAATGAAATATTCATATCATTTTCAATATATATTTACATTATATACAATTGACTTCCACTGAATCTCCAGTTTGTCCTCAACTATTTTCCAATTTACTCTTATTGTCTTTGCATTCAATGTATTATACCCTTTAGATCCTCTGTGTGCTACAACCCCAGCTTTAACATCGTTGATCATTTATATTTAGATATCTCAGTACCTTTGTATTGATATTTCCATACATTCATTTAACAATATTCATTTCAATACATTCGTTATAAATCCTTTCACAGTTAAGTTTTCTTTTTCACAGTATTGCAATATTGGGGTCCAGTCTTGTTCAACTTTTTCTAAATTTTGCTTGTTCAGCCTTGCCGTGAGTACATCCATACTCGTCATTTCAATAAGTTGTGTAAGACATTCGCTAATTAAAGGAATTTTTAATTAATTTAATTTTTAATTCCTCTTTCTTGCCACCCCCAAAAGAGTGGGCAAATGCCGCTTCTTTTTGGGTCAGCAAAAAGCTGCCCTCAGAGCTGCTGCAGCAGCTCTTTTGTGCCCCCTTGGCGCAGTGTTTCTGCACGCTGTGCCAAGAGGGCACTCTGATGCCGTGCTCCATGTGGTTGGGTGCGCGCCAT